TTTTTTTTTGTAAAGGATAAAGTTGAATCATCTTCATCTCATTCATCAAATAAACATGTGAGATTATCTTCATCCAATATATTGAGAGAACAAATTCGTGTTGTATCAGGTTGTTCATCTAATATTTTATCATCAATTGGTATTATATTTCTTAATAAATATATTTTTGCACATTGTCAAATAAAAACAATGACATTAACAGCTATACAAATGATATTTACATCAATAGGTTTAATTATTTGTTTACAAATGAATACATTTGTTCATAAAAAAGTTCCTATAATAAAAGTATTACCATTAGCTATATCATTTTGTGCTTTTGTTGTTTTTACAAATTTATCATTAGAATATAATACCATAGGTACATATCAATTATTTAAAGTTTTAACAACACCTGTTGTTGCACTTATATCATGGCAATATTATAAAATAAAATATTCGAGAATGGTTATATTAACATTAATACCTGTTGTTATTGGTGTATGTACACATTCAGTTAATGATATTAAATTAACATTATTTGGTACAATTGTAGCATCAATTGGTGTTATGTCAGCATCAATTTATCAAGTTTGGGTTGGTGAACATTTAAAAGAATTAGAAATGAATTCACAACAATTACTTTTTTATCAAGCACCATTATCAGCTATTTTACTTGTACCTTTTATTTTTTATATGGAAAATTTTCCATCATATAGATCACATGAAGAACAACAAGCAGCATTAACTGCTATAGTAGCTTCTGGTATTGTAGCTTTTATAGTTAATTTATCAGTTTATTGGGTTATTAAAAATACGTAAGTGAATAAAATATTTTATGATAAACTATATAGAATTTATACATATATTTATAACAATAGATCTGCATTAACATATAATATGATTGGTCATATGAAAACAGTTTCAATTCTTGTTGGTGGTTATATTCTCTTTAAAGATAATCTTAATGTTAAACAATTTATAGGTATTTTACTTACATTATCCGGTCTATTCACTTATACATTTGTTAAAATGAGTGAACAAAATCAATTACCATGTAAACGTTGGAATGCATATCCAATGACAAATATAGTTTAGACAATAGAAAGACATATATTTATATTAAATTATTATTTCTAACATTAATTTTGATATTTCATCGACTATATATTCATCATTATATTTATTTTTCAAATTACCTATTGGTATAATTCATCGGTTTATTTTAAAGAAATATTCATATGATTGATATAACATGATAAGTTCTTCATTAATATAGTAGTTAACAAGAACAAAAGAAAGTTTATTGTGAATAAATATATTCAAAAATTTTTTAAAATGCTAGAAAATTAATATCTTAGTCATTCTTTGTTAGTATATTTTGATAGTACATATAGATTTTTGTTTTCAATGATTTTCGTTTGGTAGATACTGAATATCGTGCAATAAGTTTTATCAATGAGAAAAATACTTCATTTTTTTTTCTATTCCTTCGTAGTTCTTTCTACTTGTTTGTAATTACTTATGCTTACGAAAGAACATTCACAAGAGTGTAATTGCTCTTCACTTGAAACTATTGCCATTCGATTAGTCATGGTGAATAAATTTTTTAAAAAAATCTATTTTGATGTGGTTTTCTCATCTTCGCTTGTTTAATTATGAGCGTTTTACTCGATGAAAACCTGAATGATCGAATTTCAAGCTGAAGTTTTATCTATAGATGGTTAGTAGAAACATCCGAAAGTGTGTATCGGAACGATCATATTCTTTCTAAGATATTTACATCTTAAAGAAATGCCTATTTTGTACTTTATTTCAAGAGAAGAACGTTTCTATGATGCACTGATATCTTGATACGGATAGGTTTGTCCTAAGAATGTTTCTTGTGACTATAAGGTCTATCTGTGAACAACAATGGGGTAAAATACTCATAGCTCGACAAATGAAGATCAGGAAGGCAAATTAAAACGGACTTTTTTTTACTATACATCATGACAGATCCAGTGGCAATAGTCTCAAATGCATGTTCCTCTGAGTAAATCCTTAAATAACACTAAACTGTAGTCTGTATAAAGCAACTAGCAATATTTCAGTAGTTTTCAAATTTCTCTTATGTGTTCGATCATATTTTCTTTATTAGATTCATCGTTTAATTCTCTAAGAGCCTGATAAATGAACTACAACATCGCTTAAGGCGACTTCTTTCCTTTCCGGATGTTAAAATCAATATTTTTTCGATTTCTGGTTTTTCATTGTTAATATGGTTTCGAAGTGTCATGTGTTAAATACCATATAAATTTGGACTCTTCATTGTTAGTTATTGCTTTTATTAAACCAAACACTTGAATTCCCTAGCAAAAAATGACTCGTGCTACGATTGTTCTTTGGATGTAAAATTCTCCTAACGATAAGGAAGAATATAAAAAGAAACCAAACAACGTAAGTACTCCAAACATTGTCTGGTATCTATAAAAGAAAATTCTAGTTCTATTGGATTTATCGTAGCTGAGAAAGTGAGGTGATTTTTAGTTTTTGTGATTCAGATTCTTCCTAGAAGGAAGTATTTGGAGTTTATGGAAACTTTTGTCATATAAGAATTTGTTCATAACTAAACGCTAAGACATAATATAATTTTTCTTGAATATCGAGTATAGACTGTATGGTCCAAAATTTTCGGACCCAATCGAACCGTACTTTGATATTCTTATTGAGATTTGCTATTGGGATTGAATTATCGCTGCAAAGGTACGAGATACTTTTTTTCGGTGATTAGCGGACTCTAAACATTCCTCAAACGACTAGAGTTCGACTAACCCTAACATACAGTTAGAAAGCGCTTTCAATTTAGATTCTGAATAGATACTTCTGATGTTTCCAAAACATATCTTAGCCGGCGAAAAATAAAGCAAAATTTCTCTAGAAACTTTTGTATTAACCGTTAGTGAATAGCATTTCTAAAAATGAAATCAAATTGAATGTCATTATTTTATATAGTAGATTCGTTTTTTTTCGAATCTACAGCGTACACTACACAAATAACAAAAAAAATGTTTCAATTCATAGAGACAAACAAACAATAATATATTGTGATACACAAAAATTATTAAACAGTTTCTTCAAGCATACTTGCTCTATTTTGATCATTCTTGAGTGCTGCTTCAGCTTGTTTACGACGTTTTTTTTCTTTTTTCTTTCGTTTTTTTTCTTTTAATAAAATTCGTTCACGTTCAGTTTCAGCTTCTTGTAAAGCTATTTGCATAACATCAACATTTTTTGCTGGTAATTTACCACTATCATAAAATGTTAATCGATCCGTAACTTGTTGTTTTAAATGATCACCAAAAACAGTAGTTGGAATTTCTTTAAATTTAAAACAAACAAAAAAAAAATTCTTTTTTAATAATATTTTATAGAACCAAAAAAAAACAGAACAAACCAGAAAAACAATCAATTCGTGATGCAATAGCACATTTATTAGCAAGATAACGAGAAATACGACCTTTATTTTGTGTATTGGCTTTACCAATATAAGATGAATGATAGATAAGACCATATTTTGGTGTATTACCTTTTGTTTTTAATGCTCTACATATGAAAAATAAAATAAATTAATAAGAAGAAAAAAAAAACATTAAAATTTATTTGTTACCGAAAAAGAGCTTTTTCAGCACCTAAAATTTGTATTGTTGATGCTGGATATTTAGCAAGATTAGTTAAACTACCAGCATGTGCAATAAGACGTGCGCCAACCTAAAAAATAATTTCAAATAACTATAATCTAACTTGAAAAGTTTGCATAAAAATTGCGCAATCAAATTAAATAATTCCGTAAGCATTTTGTAAACAGTGTAATTTCAGCATATAGAGTCAGAAGAAAACAAATGTTCAAATCTAATCTTGTTTTCAAGTTCATTTATTATACATAATTAGAATGTCGTAATATTTAACGAGTAAATGGACTTATGACTATAATGATTTTTCAAGAAAAAATTCATCAAGTCGTTCTCTATTCATTAGTTAATAAAGATACTTAAAAAGCAAAGTATTAATATAGCATAGATACTTCTTGTTAATGGCAAAGTTGGGCAAGTACGGACTTTCTTGAGTGCGTACTTGCCCAGTTCTGCTTAGTGCCGGATTATAAGTCTTTGAATAAACAGAATATTCACACTTTTCCAGTGATTTAGGATGAATTCAAACTAGTAGAATTTAAAAAAAAAATCTTTTTGTCATTCGCTTTGCAGTTCTCATGTTTTGTTAGGAAACTAATCTGCCTATGGACGTATGTTGAAATTTATAATCCATCGCAAGTTAGATGAAGCTATCTCATTTTTCTATTAAACCAGTTTGTGATATCGTTTTCAGAAAACTATAACTTTTGGGTTTAATACATAAAAAATTTCCTTTTTATCGAGTTTCGAAAAATACACAGACAGAATTTTATGCTAAATTGTTTCTACTCTTTTCGTTATTCTGAATTTCTCGTCATCTAAATGTCTTTCTCTCACTGTATCAATATGTGCATGATATTTTTTGAAAAATTTGAAACATTAGTCTTAAATTGAATGATTTAGTTTTGTCATTTGACTTCTTATCAAAGTTTTCAAAGAGCAAATGAACGAATTGCTTTGAAGAAACGTACTAATTATTTAAGATTTTACAAGTGTCATTCAAATATTTATAAAGAGAGAATATCTAGATGGCGAAAAGTCCAGAATCACAAAAAAAAATGGAATCAATTCAGCACAAGACCATGCCTTTTGTTGTTCGAAGGTCAATAAAAAAAGGTCTTATTTATGTATTGGATCCAAAAGTTATAATTTTTTGATTCGGCTTCACCACAATGAAGATGTATAATTTTTTTTTTGGTCGGTGACTTTTCGAACATTCTGTAGGTTTCTTCTTTGGATTATTAGTTAGATTGCTGTCAAAGAATGCTCAATAAAAGCAATAGAGAAGAGAATCTTTCTTGTAGTGAATGAATTTATGACACAAAAATAAATTTACACTGTTATTCCTACCTGTTCACCAATTAACACAGCTAAATTTGGAGCTACTTGTCCCATTTTACTTCGTAAATACTATACAAATAAATTATAAAAACTTTAAAAATAAAAACAAATTATTTTTTACTTCTTGTAAACTTTTTCGATATTCAAATAAATGAATAACACGATTAGCAAATGATTCAATATTAATAAGATCAATTGGTGATATATCCATACCTAAATTTATAAATAAAATTCTAAAATCTTACAGAAATTCATTAATTTAACCAATAGTCGTTTTCATAGCTTCAAAAATTGCTGCTGTTTTTCCACTATCCATTGTAATAGCTTCTAATTCATCTTCACGATCAATTGAAAATTTTTTTCGATTTTTAATTAAATATACAGCTCGTGCATATGTATAATTATCAGAAATAATTTTAATTAATTCTGGAAAATGATAACCATACCATTCACTAAATTCAAAATGAAATAAATATAAAATTTATTTTATCAAAAATAATCTTACCGAATACGCATAGAAAATGTATTTATATCTTTATCAAGTTGATCAAGTAATGCAATTGATTGTATAATCATATTATCAACGCGATTAACATTAAATTTAACTTTAGCACGTGAATATGCATGACCTAAACCAAGTTGTGCTTTATTTTGATTTTGATCTGTTAAACCTTTGACTAAATTTGGAAAATGAAGACGAAGACCTTTAAAATATAAAACAAAACAAAAACGATAATCGAACATTTTTTTATTTCGTTAAAATTTTACCTCGTAAAAGTTCTGGTATAACTCCTGTATGTTGACATATAATTGAAAATAATTCATTTATTGTTGATGCTATACGTGAATCAGCAACACCAAGAATCATTTTAGCACGTTTCTTAGCTTTTGGTAAATTTGTATCAAGAAATGTTCGAAGATCATCATGAACTAAACCTATAAAAAGAAAAATAATTTTTGTAAAACACAATCGAGAGAAGAGTGTTGAAGTAAAGAAGTGAAGAATTTCGATTTAGACCTTCTACTCAAAGATCATGCATCATTAACATCTAAAGATTTGTAAAAATTGTTGCAATTAAAATGTTAATCATCAACTAAATAAATCAAAAGCGAGTATTGAAGAATTTTTCTAGACTGAGAGCACTACAAAAAGAAGTTACGGAGATCAGAACCTGGAAAAAAAAGTTACGAGGACCAGGATCAAAACAACTTGGTGCCGCACATCTCTACTAACGTCTTGCTATTAATATACGAACTACTTTCTTATTGTGTTTCTGTACGATTAAGTAAAAGGATGATGAAGAGATGTATTCCAAAATAGATAGAATAGAATAATCTTAGCAACACAAACTACATCATATTTCATATTTTTATCGTACAAGGATCGCGCTAACGGGATGTAAAGAAAAAAAATATATATAAAATTAACCTTCAGATATTGCATTTATATTATCAAGTGCATTAACACCAGATTGAAATGGATGAAATGCCACAAGTTTAACAACAGTTGCAAATTTTGATAGATCAACTACACTTGCTTCTACTTGTGGTAAATTCATACCAATTTCTTCGAATTCACGAACACGAAATAATGCATAACCAGATGCATGTTCAAATAGAATATACAAATTTGACTAGAAAAGTAAAATAAATATAATTACATAAAAAAAAAAAGACAAATGATATTGTGGGAATTCCTTACCATGAATCTTTTTTAATGCGTAGAAAAAAACAATGAAAACAAAACGAGAGAGAATTTATTACCAAAAAAATCTTAACTATTTCTATTAGCTCGTTAGTCAATCAATAAGATTAGATATAAGAGGGCGCTATTTATCAATGCATTTATTATTGTTACCAACTGTCAAAGGTTATTTGACGACTTTGATTTTGAGTAGATCTATAGAGGATAAATTAAAGTCGAAAAAAACTTGAATTCATGCTCTGCTTGAACTAAGGTTTGATATCCCCTGTCAGAACTCTTCCGGCTAGGGAGTATCGAGAGTATGCAGTATTTTTGGACAATGACTACGAGACAGGTGTAAGACTTTTATCAATCGAGAAAAAAACCTTAGCTAATAATGAAAGATAAAATCGATTTTCATTTTGTAAGGTATTCTTCAGTCGAAAAAAAAAGTGCATCTGTTTTCTAACTTTTATAAGCTCGAAACATTCTTTTGTATCACCTCTTCTGCTTGTTCGATCGGTATATTCCGGTGTGCACCACACGTTTTTCCTAATCTGATAATATGCATTAAACTATACTGTATTGGCAGCATATATATAGAGTAAACAACTACAAACCTAGAGCTCGAAAGGTCTGGTCATTTCTGTCTTCT